TGCCGGAGGCTGGGAGGCAGCTGCCTGGCCATGCTGGAGAGCCTGGGGACATCATCCAGTATGCAGGAGCGAAGCCTGGGTCCGGCTGTTGCCCAGCCCTGGGATGAGCAGGACAAAGCGTCCCATGATGAAGGACTCGGGGAGCTCAGCTGTGGCCACCGGATGATGACTGAGCCTGACCCTCCATCCCTGCCAGGTGCCCGGTTTAGGGCCGTGGAGGCTACCCCTGAGTCTGGAGGCAACCCTGCTAGCCCAATGCCCCTCACTAGCCCAACACTGAAGTGTCGGACAGGGCCAAGCAGTGTGTTGGAGCATTTGGTGGATGGCACCCTGGATCCAGCCAGGGAACTCTCCAAGCACCCAGGAGAGGGTGTCCTACTGCTGGTGGGGGTGGGTGACCAGGGCAGCATGCCCGGGCTGGCATGGGAGCCTGTGGGTCCAAAAGCCCAGGAGGAGGAGAGGGAGTGTGGGGGGTCTCTCCTGGCAGGGCAGAGGGTGCTGGAGGAGGAGGAGAGGTGGGGAGGCACAGCTGAGCTCGCTGGGGAGAGCATCTTGGATACACCAGGAGCCAGCTGCGAACCCGGGTGCTCGGATGGTGTGGGTGATGCACCAGTGCTCCCAGGGGAGAGCACCCCAAGGCAGGGCACGGGCAGCCCATCCCAGCTCCTGCCGGGCAAGAAGGAGAGCACTGCCGGTGCCAGGCATCCTGGTGGGGAGGGTGTCCCAGTGCCTACTGCAGAGGGAGAGGGCAGCACCTCTGCCTGCACAGACAGCAGTGCCGGGGCTGAGAGTGGCCCACTGGGTGATGGTGAGGAGCTGACAAGCGGTGCACGTGAGGGCGCACCCCCGGAGAGCCACGAGCCCCCACCAACCCTGGAGCTGCTGTGCTGCAGCATAGAGGGGCTCTCGCCCGCAGCGTGGACGGAAGAGCTGGTGGGGGCAGACAAGGATGCGAGCTCGCTGCAGCAGCACCAGCATGGCCAGGAGGCTGAGGAGGAAGAGGAAGGTCTCCGCAGCGGTTCCCCAAAGGCAGAGCAGCTGGGGACCCCAAGCCAGGCCAACCCAGGTGCCGAGGAGAGCTGGGACGCGCTGTTCAATGACGATGGGGACTGCCTGGACCCACGTCTGCTGGAGGAGGTACGTCCTGCGAGCCAGCACCCGCGGGGGTTTGCAGGGACAGTGACTACTGCTGGGATGTGGGGACAGGGGTCGGTGTGGGCCGGCTGTCCCTGTGTTGGGGTGGGGGGCTCACCGCCAGCCCTCCCTGAGAGCACAACCTGCCTGTGATGCCCACATGCCTGGGGCCTCCACCTTTCCCCCTTCCCCTGGCTGGTTCCCATCCCATCTCACAGTGCTGCTGAAAGCTGGGGGAGATCTTCCCTCTATAATACATAAAGCACACCCGGTAAAACCTGCTTGAGCACCGTAAACTGCAACTGCACCCTCGTGAAACCGGGGCTGGTGATAAAGAAATGGGCCGAGACGTATGGGCTCCCATTGAAATAGCAACGGGATGTTTCCTTGAAACTGCGGCTTCTTAATCAGCTGTGGCTCATTACCGTCCCCTCCTGCACGCGTGTGCCAGAATTTACTACAATTAGCTGCTTAGCGCTGGGACCCACGCCGTTTTCCTGCGGTTCGCGAGGAAAACTTGGCTTCTGCAGCGAGGCTGGATACCCCTTATTGCATTTTAAATCAGTAATGTCAAACCAGTAATTTTCCAAATGACATTAATGTACCCAAAGTAACAAACAGCGCTAATATTGTTCCAGCCAGTGATTGTCCACCCTGAGCTGGAAGTAGGGTGTGAAGTGGTGGATGGTGCCCAGTGACTGCTTCTGGGAAAGGATGAGGTTCACTCAAGAGCATCATTAACCAAGGGGCACTGGTACCCTTGTCTGTGGGGCTGTGTCCGGGGCTGAGCCTGATGGGCTGGGGCAGGGTGTGGGGCTCACCTGCAGGTCCACTGGGAGAGGGATATGGAGAGGCATTGGGTACCCCCATCCCTGCAGTCCCCTGCCCTTCCGCCGGCAGCTTGCGCTGGGTGCCGGTATGAGGGGGACGGTGCGGCTGCTCCGACGGCAGCTGGTGTGTGTGGCACTGGCTTTCCATGGGCACAAGGTGCATGGCTTTATCCTCGGGCACAGCAGAGTGGCTGCCTGGCCCCGATGGGGAGGCAGGTCAGGGAGGGCCCGTGTTACAGTGCAGCCGGAGGATGCTGCGGGCAGGGTTGTGCCGTGCCGCACCGGCGCCAACCGTGAACGGCTCTGGAGCATCTGCGTTAACTCCCCCAGGCACAAACTCCGAGCGTAGTTTGAGCTTTTCAGGGAGCTTCCCAAAATGGGTGGGTAAGAACCTGAATATGGGATTTACAAAAGTTGCCATCTTCACCCCCTGCAGATTCCCATGCCAAGCCTTGTGCTTCCTGAGCCCTCCGAGCTCTCAGCAGGCATACGTGGCTGCTTGGGGAGGGCGCAGGCTCTTGAGGAAATGGAGCTGTTGTTAATTAACAAAAAGGACAAGAAAATTAGTAGCATTCTTCCTCGTAACTGAATCCTTATGCGCAGTGGATAGCCGGCAGAGAGCAAGATTTATGACATTCTGTGTGGAGGAGAGATTTCTGATAGCGGACGGCTCTTTAATCTAGCAGGAAAAAACACCACAGCGAGATCCATTGGCTGGAAGCTGAAACCAGACAAATTCAGAGCAGAAATCAGTTTGAACGCAGAGGGTAATTAAGCACTGCGACCATTTCCTTGCAGGCTCGGTGGACTCT